GACCTGAACGCCCTCCAATCTGCTCGTACGCACACCGCTCCCCCCACAGCCCACAGCGCCCCTCCCCCCCAAACACCCAATAGTCATTCATTCCTGACACCTTAACGTGGTGTGTGTGGGTTGAACGTGCAGGTGGACGAGAACTGGAACGTGAAGGTGGCCGACTTTGGATTCGCGCGCATCAAGGAGGAGAACGCGACGATGACCCGCTGTGGCACCCCCTGCTGGACGGCGCCGGAGGTCATCCGCGGCGAGAAGTACGACGAAAAGGCCGACGTGTACTCGTTTGGCATCATCATGTGGGAGGTGCTCACCAGGCGCCAGCCCTATGCCGGACGCAACTTCATGGGCGTGTCGCTCGACGTGCTCGAGGGGCGGAGACCGCAGATCCCCAACGACTGCCCGGCGCACTTCACCAAGATCATGAAGAAGTGCTGGCACGCCAAGGCGGAGAAGCGCCCCCTCATGGAAGACGTACTTGCCTACTTCGACAAGCAGGTAGGTGCGGACGATTTTGTGGCGACAAACCCCTGAGGTGCCACCAGCAGTGTAACATAAAATGGGAGGGGCAACAAAAAAATGGTACAACACGGTTGGGGGTCCTAACGTCCCAACCCATTAAGAACTAAATCCAACTGAATAAACCGCCCGGTTTTCGTTCCAATCTGCTGACCAACCCAGTTGTTACTGCAGACTGCACCGGCTATAAAACGGCACGGCGTGGCCTCTTCAAACGCATCACCAACTGTTACAGCCAGCGCATGCAAGGCCCGCTGGCCGACCTGCCTACCAATTCCACCAGCAGACCGTGGCTCGTGGGACCCAGGAACACCACCAAGCTCAACCACCGCACGCGCCAGATACTGGAGAGCGGCGAGGACGCCTTTGTGCCGTCGAACGAGGTCACCAAGTACTACAACGTCACCGCGGCCTGCCTGCGCCAGTGGGCCAACAAGGGTGAGGTGCGCGTCTTGAGGATCGGCGAACTGGGCAAGCGCCTCTACAACGCCAAAGATCTCAAGTCCAAGCTAGTTGGGCGCGATGGAGGCGCCCAACAACAACGACAACAGCAACGAAAGAGGTTTGCCTACGCTCAAGTGTCGAGCGAACACCAGCGGGGCGACCTCGAGCGCCAAGTTGGCGAACTCCGGCGGCTCTGCCCCAACCACAAGATCGTCACCAACGTGGCTAGGTACATAGCCCAGCCCCCCAAAAAGCAGCAGAATGGCCCAACACCAAACCCTAAGAGTCGTCTCACGTTACCTTTGCATGGTAACGTGTCTTTTGTCCCATAAACAGTGGCCTCAACTGGAAACGGAAGGGCGTTAGAGCCATACTGGACCAATGTCTCGAGGGAATGGTCGAGGAGGTTGCCGTGCTTCACCGGTATCGATCAATTCGTATTGGGCTCGCTGCCGCTTTTTAGCTAACAATACCCCCCCCCTCCTCAACCCAACAAAGGGACCGACTGGCGCGCTTTGGAGTCGAGCTCATGGAGTACCTCTTTGCAAAGAACGATGTCCGGCTCGTGGTGGTCGGTGAGGGCGCTACAGCCGACGCCGAGACCCACGCCGTGCTCGAAGCTGTCGTTGACCCGGCGCAGGAGCTCGCCGACGACCTCATCGCCGTTACCACCTTTTTCGTGGCGCGACATAACGGATTGCGCTCTGCGGCGCATCGACGAGCGCGCGCTGCTGCCCGAGCAGCAACCGTGGAGGAAGCAACAGGCGGCGAATCTGAAGACGGCTCAGAAGAAGGCGAATCGGAAGAAGGCCTCGGCGGCGAAGACCAAGGTCATGGAGGCAAGCGGCGACGGCGACACGAATCAACCGGGAGGAAAGCGAAAGCGCAAGGGAAAAGAGCGCGCGCCGATCTCTGAGGAGGGGGAGGAGGAGGAGGAACCGGCGCCGTACGATGGCAAGTGCCGCAAGATCCGAGTCTTCCCGAATCGCTGGCAGAAGGATCTCCTCAAGAGCTGGATGGGCACGGTGCGCTGGACCTTCAACGCGTGCAACGCCGCCGTGCGCGCTGGGCTCAGCGGCCACTCCGAGGCCGAACTGCGGAGCCGTTTCGTGGACAACGAGGCCTTCGGCAAGCCGTCTAGACGAAAGAAAAAGAAGGCGAAAGTGGCGGCCCCTTTCTCCGAGCGAGGGAAGGAGTTGCTGGCAGCGACCAGGCACCTCCCCGGTCCATCGACGCTCTGGGTGCTCGACACGCCGCGCGACATCCGGGACCAAGCGGCGAAGGAGCTCTCGGCGGCCTACAAGAACGGCACCAAGGCGCACGGCAAGGGCAAGTTCGAGGTCAAGTTCAAGTCGCCCAAGAAGATGGCCCAGCAGTGCATCACGAGCAACGCTCGGGATTGGGGTCGCGGTCGCACGAGCGTCTTCCACGGCCTCTTCGACAGCGGGAGAGCCCTCCGCGCGAGTGAGCCGCTCCCGCGAGAGATGAAGCACGAGTTCAAGATCGTGCGTACTCGACTCGGTCGCTACTACCTCTGCGTGCCGATGGACCTCGAGACACGGGGCGAAAGCCAAGCCCCATCGTCTTCGGATGACGTCGGCGCCGAGTGCGTCTTCATCGACCCCGGCGTGCGCACCTTCGTGACCACCTTCGATCTGAGCGGGCGCATCCACGAGTTCGGCACCGGTTCGATCGGACGCATCGAGAAGCTGTGCCGCCGCCTCGACGACCTCATCTCGCGCACCTACGCCAAGAAGCCCGACGACAGGCAGCGCTTCCTCCGCGGCAAGAAGAAGCGCTGGAGGATGCGGCGCGCGGCGCTGCGGATGCGGCGTCGGATTCGCGACCTGATCGATGAGGCCCACCGCAAGATCGCGCTCTGGCTGTGCGAGAACCACCGGGTCATCCTGTGGCCGCTCTCCGGTGTCTCCAACATGGTGGTGGCCAAGGAGGATCTCAAGCAGCGTAAGCGACGGATCGGCGCCAAGTCGGTGCGCGCCATGCTCACGTGGAGCTGGTACCGCTTCCAGGAGTGGCTCAAGCACAAGGTGCGCGAGTTCCCCTGGTGCCGCCTCGTGCTCACATCCGAGGCGCACACGACCAAGACCTGCACTCACTGCGGCACGCCCAACCATGACGTCGGGAGGAGCGAGGTCTTCCGCTGCGCCGACGCGGCCTGCCCGAACCGATCGGCCCATCGCGACCACCACGGAGCGCGCAACAATGGCCTCCGGTTTTTGACCGAGTGGGCCAACCTACCAACGACGACGACGACGACGACGATGACGCAACGACTCCCGACTCGAGTCATCGACCTGACGACGTCGGGTCTCAACGACTGAACGACCAACCAACCCAACTGAGCCTTGGCTCGCTCGCACCGTGCCGGTGGCGCTCCGCGGTGCGGGACCATGGATCTATTGACAAGCAAGCAACGCCGCCAGTGTTCCGGTGGGAATGCCCGCCGCTGATACTTTGTAATAGGTTCAATTCCAAGGGCGTGAGCCGAAATTTAAGCCAATCTCCAGGGCATCACTAGAAATAAAATCAAGTCATCAGTAACTTTGTTCTGAACAGCAATTAAGATGCCCATACCTCTCTGATTGTGTAGATGGAGTGAAGGTCAATAAACCCAGCATTGGCCAGGCTTGCACTGAGATCGGCCAAGTTGTTGGCCTGCAGCCAGCTCATCGCCTCCTCTGTCATCGCCATTGTTTTTGAAAGGAACAAAACTGAAAAAGAGGTTTGGAGTCAGACAAAACAGATAAACCTGTTTGTGAGCACGCCAAACTTATGCACAGTTGCCGCTACTACAAAAATAGGAATAATCTGTTTTTTTTGCAGGGCGGGATTTTCGACGTTCGTGCTGGATGAGGCCGGGCCGGGCCGCAATGGATAGGCGTGACGGTGGCGGCGGAGGAGTTCCTCGAATTCCTCTCGGCGGCGCTTACCCAGGACCTGGTCAGCCGGCCGGGCGACCAGATCGACGCCCTGGAGGAGGGACGCATGCTCGAGGAGGTCAAGATGCGCAGCTTCGTCTTCGCCGGGTGATCTCACCAGCCAACCGCACACGCACGGCACGCATGACACACGATCTATTCAAGCCCGGGCTGAGCAGGCTTCAGCAGGCGGACAGGAAGGGATGCGCGAGAGCGTCGGCCAGGGCCAACCGCTTCTTCGGGTTGAGCTTGAGCAGGCGGCGGGCCAGGTCGAGCCCTTCCTCCGTGCACCACGGCGCCGGTGTCCACGCTTGATTCGCGGCACGATTGAACAGCAGCTTCTTCAGCTTGTCGGCCCTGTCGTTGTCGTAGTTGGCGTAGTTGGTGTTGGTGTTGGTTGGTCAAACAATCACCCACGACGCCCCGACAAATTTGGGGGAAGCGGTACGGTGCGTTGTGGGTCCAGGACTGGATGAAGGAGCAGGCTTGGCCGCGTGGAGCGGCGTGGAGCTGCTGAACCAGGCGCAGCGCAGCCCCGTCGGAGCGCGGGTAGATCCACATGAGCTAGCACAGATTCCATTAATTTCCAGGACGAAGAACGAAAAGAGCGAATGAGGGAGAGTGGGGAGGTGGGTACGGATTGCAGGAGCATGATGCCCAGGCTCCAGGTATCGGCAGCAGTCGTGGGCAGCTCGAGACTGATCCCACTCAGCTCGGGACACGTGTAGCCCGGCGTGCCCGCAGTTAGGATCTCCTTGTCGCATCGCGCCACATCGACTGAGTGGTCAAAATCGATAACCACCGCTCTCTGGCAATGTAACCACCGCGACCACCACGCGCGCAACACACAACACACAACAAAGCACACAAGGGGACCGGTGAGTTCAGTCATCCCACTGATGTGCAAACATCAACTCAAGAAAAACAAACCATGTCATTCGTGAGGAGAACGTTGTCGGGCTTGATGTCGTAGTGCAGGATGCCTCGCTTATGACACTCCAAAAGAGTCTGGACAGCCAAGACATGAATCAGCCAAGTGGTGAACATGGGGCAGGCAGGCAGGCAAGTACGTACTCGGGTGAGCTGGTAGAAGAACAGGCGGATGCTTGCAAGAGTGGGCATGTCCTCAAGGTGAGCTGGAGCGCCGTCGATGTACTCCAAGATGAGCACCAGCTCTCTGTTGGCCCAGGAGGTATCCCCACGCCCAGGAATGGCCCTGCCCTCGTCGATCAGCCGCACGACCCCGGGCACGCCCTCGAGGATGCGCAGTGCGTGCACTTCCTGGTAGTGGATCCAATTATCAGTCAGCCGCCGCTTGACGGCCGCCAGCTGGCCGTTGGCCACATTTCTCGCCAGATGCACTTCTGTTGCCTCTCCCTGTTGGTTCAGGAAGTCAGACAACTGCCGCTATGCAAGCAGTAACAGACGTTGTGTGGGAGGTGCAGTACCTTGCTGATGCAGGAAAGAAGCTCATAGAGTTGGTGGCCGTTACTGGCCTTCACAAGGGTCGTGATACTCGCCTTCGTCTGATGCATTGCTTGTGTGCCTTGGTCACTATACTCTTCGATCCCACCATCCTTGGCCTCGTCGTCCTTGCCCTCGCTGCTGTCAATATCACTCTCATCTTTGCCCTCACTGCGCCCATCGCCGCTAGCATCTTCGTCGTCGCCCTTGTCGCCGTCGCTGGCGCTATCTCTTCCACTGCCGCTGTCGTCCTCACTCTCGCTGTTGTGCTTGTCGTTGCCTTCGCCATCGCCATCATTTTCGTCGTCATCACCATTACCGTCATCTCCCTTCGATCTTGCTTCGGCGGCGTAGACGTTGGCCCTCCTTTGGAGATCGGCTGGCTGCCTCTGGGCCAGCTCAGCTGTCTGGATGGCATGTAGGCGCAAGTACCAAAGAGCCCTGAAGATGAGCACAAGTTCCATTGCTGTGTATGTACAGGAGAAGTCAGCAATAGTTGTAGTGGAAATGCGAGGCACAAAGGACAAAAGGACAAAAGTACGTTCAGATGAGGAGTATTGCAGGAGCAGGTGCGGGTGGAACTGGTTGCCGCGGTTCGTATGATGGACCTCCATGCCGTACAGAAGGAACCGGGTGCCCGCCCAGTAGATTCCGAACGCGAAAGGATGCTCCCATCCGAGGTCCACCTGCTGCATGCACATCATCCTCATCTCGTACAGCACCACATTGCTTACATACAGGAAAGACTTAACAAAGCCACCCTTTTCAAGGAGTGATAGGAGCGCACCTACATGTCACTAAGATCGTGTTCGTCTTTCTTGTGCTCAATCACGATGAGACCGAGGTAGACCAGCTCCGCAAGGGGGCTGATGTCGACGCCGGGAAGAGCCGCCTTGGTAAACCCGATGATGCCATCAGGCCGCCACACCTTGACCTTGTTCTTGCCGAGGTAGTTCATGTCTCTGACTGTTCTTCGCCTAAACCCAAGATTGAGGGAGCTTACTCCAAGACAAAATCGAGAAACCAAGAGTTGAAGAAGGTACCAGGCTCGTTCAATTGTGTTGGCGCACCCGGCAGTCAAGCAGATGTACAACCAGGCGTAGAGATCCATTTCTTTCGTTCCTTCACCGTGGGCAGCGCCCAAACGCTGAGGCGTCTCGCTGCGGAGAAGTTCTGCAAGAACCCTTGCGCAGAGGTCGAAGTCGTGATTGGTCGTGTCGAACGAGAACGCTCCACCAAGGCTGCTGAGGGTGTACTCCCCGTCAAGAAATCGAAGCTGTTGACGTCAACAGGGAGTGAGCAGCAACCAGGGTAAGGATAATAGCACAACTGTACCTCAGGGAAACGGTTGCGCTCGCCAACTAACATCTCGAGGTAAGCCGGTAAGCGGAAGCGGCGGTGACGAAACACGAGAAGAACCCACTCCAGCTCGGTGTCGTGTAGGGCGATGCTCCACACCCGGTCGTTCTGCTCGGGGACTACGGGCCGCACCACAATCCCCAGATTCTGCAACACAGCGGTGGATAGCTTGCGTTGCGTCCCGAAGGTGTCGGGCGAGTGGAGCGCGGCCTCCTTAGGGTTAGGGTTAGGGTTAGGGTTAGGGTTAGGGTTAGGGTTAGGGTTAGGGTTAGGGTTAGGGTTAGGTTAGGTTAGGTTAGGTTAGGTTAGGTTAGGTTAGGTTAGGTTAGGTTAGGTTAGG